TTCATTTTACAATAAGCTGTGGTACTTTACTTATGCTGCTGTGTCCTTGCTCAAATAACCAGGCACTCTAACCAGTAGCTGGGAAAATACTTCTAATTAAGTATTTCCGGTTTCTTGACTGTTTGGAGAATTTAATGAATTCACATTTTTGTCCCCCCATAAAGCTGATACACAAATTCTCATCCCAGTGACTCTATTTGCATGTCCTTGCAGCTTTTCTGTTAACGAGTCCTCACTCCTTAAAATGGAAACTAGATGATGGCTTCTATTGATTTTAATGTTGTAAATAGACTGTTGGATCAGACGGTTCTCAAACATTTTCATATTAAAAGAGAGATTATCTCATGGACTACAACCCCTCTCACATTCCCAATAGTATTGACTACCTCCTCCTCCTCCCATCCGCAATCACATCACATCTCTGTAGCAATTGCTTACATTGAAAAATGATACCTGGAAAGTATTTCATTCTTAGCTATATTACTGAAATTGAATAGATGGTAATGAGGAGGAACCAGCATTATGTGATCAGCCAGCTCTCCAGAGACTAGCACAAAGAGCTCCATAGACTGCAGCTGGGACCCTGTACCCAGATACTTATTCTGCTGTATGTTGGGATTGTTGTAGTTTGTGGGTTACCAATTTACTGGTATCTTTTCACATGGCTGCTGGGGAGGAGAAAAATATTTTCCTCTACATACACAGACGTTTTAAAACAAACAGAGATAACATCTGAGAAAGCCCACCTCATTACAGACAAAAGGTGTGGATGAGAATCTAGCAATTGTAAGGGAACTAACCAGAGTATTTGATCACTCTCAGAGACACAGACACCGCAAATCCCACCTCACTCACCTGCAGAATAATTCTGGGAAATAACTGTCAGGGGGTAAGAAACATTGAAAAGGAACATACAGAGAGAGATTCCTCCCAGATGTACAGGTGGTTGTGTCAAAGTGCTTATTTACCCAAGAGTTTATTAGGAATATCTCCCAGCATTGCAATAGTGCTGGTGAATCTTCACTGGTGAGGCCTGGTAGAACTGGTGTAGTGAGGCCAATAGCATTCAATGGCATGTTACCACCAAGTCTTCTAGACCTGCTCTAGTGACACCATCATAAAAACGCCAGCACTAGTACTGCTGCACTTGGTGTCCTTGGTGGGGCTGTACAGCAGGAGGTTGTGACGATCCACTCTTGTGTGCTCTGGACAAGTGAACTGCTAGGTCACTCCAATCCTTGATTCTGGGAGCCAGCCTTACCTTGCTCTGCTGTGAGAACCCCTACTCCTGGAGTGTTCACACGCACCCTTTGGCATATAAACTGCTCATTGGATTGTGCCATAGTCTAATCATGATGCATAATAACTTGCACTGGTGTTGCACTTTCCATCCAAGAATTTCAGTGTACTTTAATGCATTAAGTTTCAATGTCTATGTGAGGTAGGTATTATTCACAGCAGGAGAAACTGAAACGCAGAGAGTATAAGTGACTTTGTCATGCAAGAAAGGGTGCGGAGGTGCAGGGGGGAGATACTCAGAAGAGAGCTGGGGCGGGGTGACAGTCCCGGTGCTGGTTGCCCCCCACTTCTACATAAGTTCCAGCACCCCTGTGCTGGCCCCCAAAATGGATCCCATGGGCCCATGCATTAATCCACTACTGAGTAGAGCAGAAGAATTACATCTCATGTTTGGTTACCACACTCCTGCTAATACACCCAAGAATGACGTTCAGTTTTCTTGCAACAGTGTTACACTGTTGACTCGTATTTAACTTGAGATTCACTATGACCCCCAGATCCCTTTCCACAGTACTCCTTCCCAGGCAGTTATTTCCCTTTTTGTGTGTGTGCAATTGATTGTTCCTTCCTAAGTGGAGTACTTTGCATTTGTCTTTATTGAATTTCATCCTATTTACTTCAGATCATTTCTCCAATTTGTCCAGATCATTTTGAATTTTAATCCTATCCTCCAAAACACTTGCAACACCAGGAAGGGCAGCTGTTTAACCCAATCCTTTTGTAGTAGCCTAGATAACCCTGGCTCATATCAACTGGGATCACCCTAATGCATCACCACTCAGACACTTCAGTGATGAGCGATAAATAGCAATATAAAATAGGACATGGAAGTGGTCTATAGACCACCAATGGTTTCTGTGATAGATTGTAAGGAGTGGTCAAAATCGCCTCATTTCTAGGTCCCCAGAGCAGTGAATAAAAGAGAAATAGAAGGATCATCCTATCCTCTCCTCCTGTTAAGAAGTTAATGGAGATATCCCATCTCCTAGAACTGGAAGGGACCTTGAAAGGTCATCGAGTCCAGCCCCCTGCCTTCACTAGCAGGACCAAGTACTGATTTTGCTCCAGATCCCCAAGTGGCCCCCTCAAGGATTGAACTCACAACCCTGGGTTTAGCAGGCCAATGCTCAAACCACTGAGCTATCCCTTCTGACTTTCAAGTTTGGCAGCTCCAGTCCATGAAGATTCCATCTGCAATAAGCACGCTATAGCGCCCTCCCGGTTCAGATGTGTACCCATGTGGCATCCCCACAAAGCTACTGAGCATGCTGCGACCTGGTGCTTCAGGGGCTGAGCAGGACTTTCCTTGTAATTGCTGCTCAGTGTTGCCAACCTCGGCAATTTTTCGCTGACTTGCCTCCTTTTGAAAGGCCTTCGGAGCAAATCTCCCCACCACAACCCAATAACCCTTTAGTTGGCGACAGGTGACCCTTTGGGTCCTCTCTGGGTGATTCAGATGGGCCCTGTCTCTGCTGCCACGGGTGGCCTTTGTGAATGAGCAGCCACCACCACGTGTGCACAGCTGGGTGGGGAGGCAGCCAATGGTGAAGTGGGGGCGAGGTATAGACCCAGCATTGTCCTATGTGCAAGTGAGCCGTGGCTGCTGCCATGACACCTCCATGGAGCGCACGGGGCAACAGTTCCCAGTGCCTGTTTCATCCAGCGGGTGGGGGCACCTTTTCCTTCCTCCCACCTGGAGGTACTTCCTGTGCTGCTTTGTGCCCCTCTCCCCATACAGCACAGCACCAGTGAGAGGGGGGAGAGGCTAAGTAGCCGCAGCCCCCAGCTCCAAAGTTGCCTCCGCTCTGTGGTATGGGGGGAATGGCTGCAGGTAGAGCCCAGGGAGGGACCAGGCCTGGTGTTTGCAGCTGGCTCACAGAAAGCAGCCGGGCCTGAGCCGGCACAGGTGCAGTGAGTTGAGACCTCATTGTGAGGTCCATTTTGCACAGGCAATGGTGTGTGGCGTGGATTCTCAGGGGGCAGAGCCAGGGAACAGAGAGGTGGCCTGCCCATAGCCACCACCATGATTCTAGATATGATTTTATCCTGGTAAAATTATGCATAATTCACAACACAGTCATGGTAAAAACAGATCAAGTCACTCCATGGTCATGGCCACCTTTGGACCCACTGGCTCAAAGCAAAGTCACAAACTGTTAATGTGAGTCAGCTGATCAAAGTGATCTAACTCTCTGATACCGCGTGGCAGCAGTGGCCATGTAATGGGCAAAGTTCCCGGCCCGTGACGATGGTGACAAGCGTGACATAGCTGTATCCTTAGCCATCACGCTTGTTTGCTTTCAATACCTGTGAGGAAGAGGAGGAGGTGGGAGGTGGAGGTACCAGGAAACAAAGAGCCAGGCAGGCAGTGGAGAGAAGAGTGTGAGAAGGGGATGCTGCAGCCACAGGTACGGGGAGGAGGAAGGGCCAACAGCAGCCTGTGTGTGTACACCCCTTGGGGGTTACTGTGGCGGGGGAAGTGACTATATTACCAGAACTCCCCAAAGTCCTGGATTTTGTGGGACTGTCCTTTGACCCCGACAATCCCCTGTTTACCCCCGGCCCCCCGAAACCGAGTGGCATTGTGACCTAGCGCATGGGGTCATGGCCCCAGTTAGCTTTGGCTCATCTGGCCCTCCATCTCCATAGCCCACTTTAGCCACTTGAAAGGTTAGGACGTATGCACTAGGGTGCTGCAGGGAGGAGGGGAAGAGTGTTACTGCTGGGGGAGGGAGAGTGTGGAAGGAGCAGTGTTACCAACCTCGGCGATTTTGGGGACTACTTTTCACATGTGTTTGCCAAAATGTCCAGTTTTGAGGCTGAAAACACTTTTGCTGCTGCAAGCCACTTTGGCACCAAATGTGACAGGAAGGACCCGCTCACTTCGGTGTGATCAGTGCCTCCACACCCCTGCTGCTAGCACCCAGGCGGTGAGAAGGAGGAAGCAGACTGACTGAGAATGCAGAGGGGTGAAGAGACAGGTGCAGGAGCCGGAGTGTGAGAAGAAGCAGAGTGGGAGGGGGGATGATTGCCAGAAGTGGGGGGAAGCAGTGGCATACAGGAAGCAGTGCGGGGAAGAGGGGACAGGTGGAACAGCAGAGGAGGAAATGGACTAGAGGTAATGGGTGGTGGATCGGACTAGAGGGAGCGGCAGGGGAGGAATATCGGTGTGTATAGGCATGGATGTGCAGAGGATAGGAGCTGAAGGGGAGGGGTGGATATGAGAGAGGGGGACAGAGACAGGGTTGGGGCCGAAGGGAGGAGGCCTGGTCTAGTGCTTAGTGCTAGCCTGGGAGTTGGGAGACCTGGGTTTAATTCTCTTTTCTTCCACAGGCTTTCCATGTGGCTTTGGGTAAGTGACAGACCTCAGTTTCCCATCTGTAATATGGGCATAAGAATACTTCCTTATCTCACAGCGGTGAGATTGTGAGGCATTAGAGATTGTGAGGCATTCAGATACTACCATGGTAAAAGCCATATAAATATGTTACATGGTTGGGTGCAGGGGATGAAACAAACGGGTCTCTGACCACTAGAGAACCCTCCCTTGTAGTTCCTGGAATTGATTTCCTTTAAATAAATAAACTGGACAGAATTCTGCAATGTTGAATTTTATTTAAAATCCATTAATCTTTCAATTAAAAAAAATTCGTCATATTTCAGAAGCCTGTTTTTATTTTATAAGGCAAATAAGTGTAATTAGTAGAAATGAAATGACAAATCATTTTAAGTTACAGATTAGGACTCCACCCCTGCAAATATTTATGGGACGAGTTTTCCCATTGACTTCACTGAATGCAGCTGGCCTATCCACATCCAAAAAGTTGCTTGTGTGCACAAGTGTTTTTGCAGGACAAGAGCCTAAGAGACTGATTCTGCACTACTTTGTGATGCAAAATTCCCATTGAAATCAAGGAGTGTAGCCTCAGCCCTTGAAGTTCCACAGTTACAAAACTAAAATAATATAATAGAAAATATGGTCACATATAAAACTGTTCGCTCTCAAGCAGAAGAAGCCATCTGTGCTAATTAGAGAAATAGCCAACAAAATCAAATAGAAATGCATGTCTTAATATTTGGAGCAAGGTGTTTTAAAGAGGGTGACCGGATGTCCCGATTTTATAGGAACAGTCCCGATATTTGGGTTTTTTCCCTTATATAGACGCCTGTTACCCCCCATCTCCATCCCAATTTTTCACACTTGCTATCTGGTGACCTTAGTTTCATATGAACAGGCTTATGGCAAAGCAAAGTAAATTGCAGACACAAATGCTGACTTTGGAAGGTGTACGGAGAAGTTTAAGGTTTCTTTCCCTGGCGCTTGATTGGACTTTGCATCCTGTATATGAAGAAGAGTACAATGACGTAGTACATGCTGCTTTTCAGGAGAAGGACAATGTATATTAAATATGCCGTCCTGTGTATGAAACTGTCTGTAATATCTACACAAAATACAAGAAGAAGAACTGGTTAATGTTGCATATACTATAACTGCAAAAATATATATATATATATAAAACCATGTGTGATAGCGTAAGGTATACATGGCATTTGATTGCAGTAATTATACCACCTAATCAGATATCTGATTGTGTCCTCTAAACAGGTCTATATTCTGCTCATACCTTCCCATCCAGCCGAGCTGAGAGAAACAAAGAGGCACTCTCAGTGCTGGTATTGCTGGGGTCTGCTAAGGAGTAAGCAGAATGCTAGTGATTCTTAAAATAGGCTGGTGCCATGATTTTAGGCCAAAATTTTCAGACCTGGGTGCTTAAGTTTGTTATCCAAGCAGCTGATCAATCAAATGGTCTGATTTTCAGAAGTACTGAAATTACACTGAAATCAGTTGGATCTTCAAGCTGTCAGCACCTTTACGCACCATTTGAAACTTTTGGCTTTGAATACTTTTTATAATTTAACATGTTAAATGTTAGATTAAGGAACAGTGGCACGAGCAGATTAAAGAACAATGACCCATGTGGCATGTTAATAAAGCACAACAAATACCACCAAAACATGTATTTCAGCAGGACTTCTAGAATGTTTAATCTGAGCTGCCCATGGGCATTAGATTTTGGACCCTTTTGGTAACGTACAGAGACAGGTGCCGACTTTCTTCTTTCTGGGTGGGTGCCCCACCCCACTCCACTCCTTCCTCTAAGGTCCCAACCTCGCTCCATCTCTTCTCCTCCCCGCTCTGCCCCATTCCCTGTGGCCCTGCAACCGCCCCACCTCTTTCCACCCATGCTCTGCCTCCTTCCCCGAGTGCACCCTGCTCTCACTCCACCTCTTCCCCTCTGCTCCGGCCCCACCCCCAATGCCTCCCACCTGCCCCCGAGCAGCTGACTGGCTGGGTCCACCAAACAGCTGATCGGCAGGTGGCTGGGGGGTACGCAGCACCCACTATTTTTTTTCCATGGGTGCTCCAGCCCCAGAGCACCAACAGAGTCGGGGTCTATCCTTACAGCAGTATTCCACATCTAGAAAGAGAAAATATTTTCACTTTTATCTTAACCGTATCAAATAGTGCTTAATTCTTAATTATATTGTATAGAAAATGAGAATTGAGACACAATTACCTGTGGAAAGCATGGTGCCATTCTCAGCATTCTTGATACAACCTCTTGTGGTTTGAGGCATTACAGTTGTGTCTGAAAAGGTGTCTGATAAAAGCATAACATGTAAAAAGGGCTTTAATTGTCAAATGGGATTCTTGTTGAATATTAAGGCATACTTTTCTTGATAGAATTCAAAGAGAAAGATGGGAAAAGTATTATAACTACAGTGACTCAAATATGGAAAGTTAATATTTTAAAAAATGAACACCTAGATTCCATTCACAGAATAAATGCTCTGTAGCACATAATTGATGTGCAAAACCAAGTAGAGATAAAACTGGGAAAAATGCATATGCTCAGGCAGTGCACAGCCCTGTGCCTGTAACAAGCTCACTTGAAGTCTTTGGCATTTGCATGGGTGCCGGTGTCTGGACTAGCAGATCTGATTGCAGGGTCTGGATGTTGGCCCTTCTGTGTATGCAAGTTTTTGTTAATGTAGAGCCAAATGCATTTTGTCCCACCAAATTACTCAGTTGAATTTGGCCTTTTGGAATGTGTATGTATACTCTGCAGATGAAAACCTGGCCGCTTGCTTTGGTCTCTAGCCTGAGGGAGCTTGAGACTGTTGGCATTCAGGATAGTGGTAATGTTGTTTAATAGCTGTACAAGACACAGAAGAAAATAGTTCTGATGAGGAGACAGTCTAAGGCCCATATCTTAGGTATTTTTGATGTGCAAGAGGGGGATGTGTATGTTATTACGTTTGTTGCAGTATACAGCACTTGTTCAAAACCAAACATTCTAGCCCAGGTCTCTGGCGGGTGTAAATCTAGAGTTCCATTGACTTCAGTGGAGTTACATTGATTTACACTAGCTGAGGAGCTCAGCCAACATTTTCTTTCATTACAGAAAGATTTTCAATGGGGGGAGAGGAGCCAAAACTGAGCTTTTGATGGAGAAGCAAGCTTCAGTGATAGCCCACTTATGGAGAGATGGAAAGTAATATTGGCCTGGAGAGCGCAAACCCTTTTAGGAACAGTAATACATTTTATTGTAAAGAAACAATGAACTCTCTAAATATATATAGAACTAGTTTTAATAATATAGTATATACCTGGAGATTTGATAGGGACAGAACGAGTATCTTTTTCATGTTTATAGTTGCAGTGATAATTCTTGTTGCTATTTTTATCTACGGTCAGCCAGCTGCTCATTGAGTATGATTGTCGATTGTCACCAGGGGGCCAAATTTCCTCGTGCACTGCATTTTTCTCTGCATTCTTCTTCTCATCTTCCCAAGTCACTTTAATAACATTTGGGTAAAAATCCTCAATGAGGCACATGTATGATACTTTCCCATCTTGTTCAGTAGAAAGAGGTAGGACCTGAATCTTGGTGGAATCAAGTTTTGCTTGTATATCTTTTGGAGAGAGAAATGAATTTGTTAGGAATTAAGTAAATTCAGAATTACATTATCCGTATCATGCTTTACTTTTGAAGCAATATGGACAGAATTCACAGATTTGAAAGTGGAAGACAGAGACAATTTCATTTTTTGCATCCAATTCCTCCAAAGCAGTCAATCTTAACTTTGAATTCAGCATGAGAACGATATCTCATTGCCAAACATATTTTAACTGCTTCAAGTCTATAATATATTGTTACTGCCTATTAAACTCTGAAGATGGGAGTAAATTATCCACTTATGAGTTACAGCTTTAGGGAGTTGGAATTGCAGAAGTTTACGTACTTAAATTGAAGGCAGGTTTTTGTGGAACAGAAGAATCTGTGAGAGTGCCCACTAACTTAGTTTCAAACTCAAAATATATTAAACACTTTTTGAATGAATGCTGAGGACAGCTTTATGTTCTGGTTCATTTCAAAACATTTGTGACTTTGAAAATCTGCCCTTTATTTACCCAAAATTTGTATATAAAAGACACTGTGATAGTGAGAGGAAGGGTACATCTACACTGCAATAAAAGCCCTGCGGCATGACCACCACTGGCCCAAATCTCCTGATTCTGACTTGCAGGGCTGGGGTGGTGCGGCTAAAAATTGCAGTGTAGATATTTAGGCTTTAGCTGGAGCGCAAGCGCTGAAACCCAGTGATGGAGGTGGTCTAAGAGCCCAGGCTCCAGTCAGAGCCTGAATGTCTACACTGTTTTTAGCACCAAAGCCTGAGCCACATGAGCCCGAGTCAATTGACCCAGGCTTGGTGCCACAGGATTTTTATTACAGTGTAGATGTACCTGACTGGAAGGGTATTAAAGATTCCACAATCGTTTTAATAAGGCCTCTCTTTAAATATCATTAGAATATTTTATCAGGAGATAAATTTGCCCTGAACCAACTGTATATACTATTTAAGAACCTTGATTAACACCTTTAAAAAGAGAGTCAGAAAAGTAATTTTTAAGCCTTTTCCACACTAAGGAACTGAACCATTTTGAAATGTTTTTTTTAATCAATTATTCACCTTAAAATGATATAAGAACGTACAAGATATGTTCTATTGCAGACCCAGGCAATACAACTTTGGGGAAACTGTTGCTGAACACCATTTTGGGATATTACAGTAAATACATTAACATGCATCTCTCAGTGACAAATATCAATTACGAAATTAGCAAGGATGATGCATCCTAAAATGCGTTGGTCATGTATTTGGTAAATGTAATGGAGTGTTATGCATAATGCTCAACACTTCTGAAAATTAAGTCACTTAAATGCCCCAATAAGTATTTAGGAACCTAACTTTAGCTAACCACTTCTGAAAATCTTGATTATGAAGCATTAATAATAATGGAGCTCTCAAGAGAACGCAATTATCAAATCTTTGCTGAGGAATAGAGGGAATGTTACTGTTTGTGTCAAAATCCTGGAGTGGATTAGCAAAGTGCCAATTAGTGAATTTCTGCTGTATCTCCTGAGTTATTTTTAAATAATTCTGCCACAGTATTCATTTTGTCACTCTAGGAATAGAGTTGATCAAAAAAAAAACCTGCAAAAAAATCAATTTTTTGTCACTTCATAACATTTTTTAAAATTGCTGCCTGCTATAAATTGGATAAAAGAATCAAAATATTTTTATTAAAAGTCTGAACTAGAAATGATAAAAATATTATTTGATCCCTGAGTTTGTTAAGTGCATGAAATAATAAATACTGAACTGGTCCCAAAAAGACTCCCCTACTAAAATCACTATCTGTCTGCTCATTTCATATGGCTGACGGTAAATGATACATTTTTTTAAACAGTATATTGAATTTACTAGTTATCACAAGAAGTGAGCAGGTTCAAAACACATTTAGTACCGTTAATCTCCGTCTCCTGTTTGTCACTGTGAAATACTACCAAGAGAATAAGGTTCCCAACCCAGCTAACTGCCAAAGAAGTATTTTCTACAGAACGAGGCAACATTCTCATGTTATAAATGTGCATCACAAAGAAGAAACAGAAGGTTGTCGATATTTCAGTAGTGTTGAAGGTTCCCAAATGGGCATCAGGTATCATGTCATTCTCTGTTTGTTCCAACACTTATATAGAGGTGAAAAATTAGAGGCCATTTAACAAAATAGTTGGCCTATACTCCACAAAATATATTACTCACTCAAGTCTTGTATGTATTCAAAAAATCTTTACATAGCTTCCTGCCCAATGATGCTGTGCTTTGCAAAAACTAATGATTATTTCTGACATTTCTCTCTAGATGTTTTTTAGAAATTAGAGTCATATTTACATGTTGACACTTTTGTAAGTACATGTAGTATTTTGTATTTGCACATGGTTAGATGGGTGTCTATCCAATATAAAATCTGAATTTTGTACATATATAAGCAGCATGTGTATTTGCATAAGTAGATTTGCAGCTGCATGAGCAAAATCAGTTTTAAATTTGTCACCTAATTTTATGCCTGATCTAAAACCCCTTAAGGCCAATGGGATTTTCTCCCTTGGCATCAATGGGCTTTGGATAAGACACTTTAAGAAGATCAGTCCCAACCTAACTTTTCAAAACACCTTGCTTGTCTAATTTATTTAAGTAGAATTTTTAACAAGGAAGGTGTGTTGTAAAAGAATATATGTGATATATTCTTATTACTTTAAGTATCTCTTCTCTTTTTTAAGATGGCAGTTGACTTTGGGCCCTTTGGCTTCACTCTTTGCTCAAAAGAAATTCCTATTAATTTCAATGGGAGGTTTTCTAAAGGGAGGATTCCAGGGCTAAGTTGTAAGTGACTCACTGCTAACTAATTTTTGTGTGTGTTTGCAATCTGCATGCCACTTATTAAAAAATAAGTAAATGGTCCAGCAAAGTGCCAAATGCTCCTCTGAAGTTCTGAATGCTTCTTATTTCCCATTGAAACCAACAGACATTGAGGGTGCTCAGCACCTGGTATTATTTACATCCAAAAGAGAAAAGGATCGTTACGACATTTCTCTGTTGCTAGCCAGTGTCTTATGATTTCATTAATATTAGTGTTGTTAATAAATTATTGCCAGTGTACATTCTTGCATTGAGATCAATTATTGAGCTAATTTGATAGATTATGCCATTAAACATTTAAAATAGTTTCTTTAAAAACTTACTAGTTACGACAAGTTTTGTGCCAGTTCCAAAGATTTTCACAGCTCCAACAGTGTTGCAACTTACTACAAAATCTGCCCAAGACATGTCTATTCAGAGGAATCAGATCTGAACAAATATTTCTAAATAGGCACAACTGAGAGCCAGTTAGTTCAAGCAAAGAAATGGTGGAATTTTCAATGTATTTTTCAGGGTGAGCTTACATTGGTCTTTTCAAATACTGTATATTAATATTAATTTGGTAGCTTTTAAATTCTGTTTAACAGAAAATCATTCATCTCAGTGACAGAGAGGATCTGGTTGACAGTGGAAACGTAATGTTGGACTTGTATTTTCTCTTGCTTAGTGGATTGAAATGGCTATTTCAGTTAAATTCTGCTGGATGCTCAGTGGTCGAATGGGTGCATTTTTAAAATACAAATATAAATAAAGACATAATTAGACAAAAATACTAATTTTACATTATACTGTGACCTATTCCCTTTTCTCAAGATGCTTCATGACATTTTTCCACCCACCAAACACTATTTTGAATGGTTTCCTGAATGGTTTCACATGTAAAGCTATCTAATACAATTTTGCTTTCCTGTGCAGTATAATTAAAAGGAATCATAAAAGGCCAGTAAGCTTTGGGATTGGTTGTATTCCTATTGAAGTCTCAATGACAAAGGAGAGAGATACTTTGAGATGCATATTTTAGCTACCTAAAACTAACCGGTTCTATTGAACATTATGAAACAAGGGCCAAATCGTAGTTCGACTTTCTATAGCACGTGTTGTGTAGAGTCTCGCTGATATAGACAGGCTAAAAAATATGTGGGGCCAAATTCTCGACACAGCAGAGATAGAGTTGTACTGATGTAACCAGAGGATAATTTAATTCAGATAGAATATCTTCCTTCATATTGCTTGTGTTTGAGAACAATCACTCATTTAATTGTTGCATAATTTGGAAAATTCCTTATGACAACAGTATTTCAATATGTCAGGGAAGAAACACTCTCTCCCATGCAGTGTGACTAAATTTGTCAAGAACTGACAGGGACTCTGATCGTGAAGTATCGAGGAGCCTCAACTCCCATCAGAGTCAATGGAAGACCAGAAGCTTTCAGCACTGGGCTCACAATGCATGTTACAGGCTCAATACTATGCTTATTAAAAATATGGGAAATTTTGATGCTGAATCAGGCCCTTTTATTCCTGCACCCGTCCACTCTTATGTGAAGGCATTTATGTTTTAGTATGAATTTGAATTGATTTTGTGCAATAGAAAATTACAATACTAATCTAAAATGCTCATGTCAGTAATGAAATATACAATATTCACAAATCTTGGCTCTCTTGGTTCCAGTGCACATCCTTTCTCCCAGACCTACGCTCTTAACAAAAGGGAAAAAAAATTAGGATGAAATCCGGGCTCCATCCAAGTCAATGTCAAAACTCCCATTGACATCAATGGGGCTGAGATTTCATCCCTAACATCTTACAGCTCCTGACTAATACATACTTGTGATACGAGAGGATAAATCCTGGTCACCTAAGGAGAGTAAAGGGGGTTTCTCTAGGAGAGCTACATGATGGACGGGAAGATGAAATCTTTCCCCCAACCTAGCTAGTGCATCATAGGTTGTGAGCTTTAATAATCTCCATACAGTTGCCCCCACACTGAGCATGGATTTTGACCAGTTGATCTCCCTAGTCACAGACCCACTGGCCATTCCATGCCCTCACCACTCCCCTACCCCTGATCCCCGATGTTCTTTGGTGCACAGGGGTCCCCTAGAATTGCCTTTTTGGCTTGCCCCCCGCACTGGATGGAACTGTGGATG